GTCTTACAATGCAGAGATTAGAAACTAGGATGTAATAATTCTGAATACAAGTAAAGTAAAGGTAGTGCCTTATACTGTTGTGCGTGTTTTAACTTCTTTTCCCAGGAGTCCTGTATCTCTGTATTTTGGCCTTGACTCTATAAACTGTATAATGTTATAATTGTTTTTAATAGTCTGGACTCTGGTTAAAAATTAGTATAAGAATTTTAGCTTCTTAAGTAAATCTAAAAATTTCAGTTTTGTATTTTATGAAATCCCTTGCCTTTTTGGTAATGCATTGCTGGATTTTGGCAATTGCCTATTTATTGCTTGGTTAAAAAAAAACCAACTATTTTATCCCATGTGCCCCTGGCAAAGAGGTGTTATATGCAAAAGTGTGTATGTGGGAAATAGTAACATTTTAGATACAGGACAAGTAAACAAGGTAAAGTAAAATAATTTATATCAAACACCTGTTTTATAGTTAATGTCAGGAATGGTGAAAAACTAGTTAGCTTCTTCACAAGAGAGGCAGCATGATAACTTTTGTGTTTCCTGTATTTTTCTCTCCAGTATTATATGTAGACACTATATAAAAAAAAATTTATAATGTTTAATTATTCAGAATTGGGAGAATATTATTCACTGTTTTGGTGTCACTTAATAGCCAAGTGGTCTCTAGTCTCTATTTTATAGAGATTGTATAAAACCTATAAAAATGTGTAATTAAAATATGTATCTTTTAGCCATCCTTGTTCTGACATCAGGTGCAGGCTCCAGAGACTAAATCAAGGGCCTAAAATCCTTTTAACACTTTTATTAGACATAGCCTTCAAGGCCTACAGTAATATGGAGGGGACTTGCTTAAAAAAAAAAAAAAAGAAAGAAAGGGAGAGAGGCAAGAAAAGGGCCCAGTAGATGGCAGTTGCCATCACAGTATTCTGCCACCTCAGACTCACCCAAGGCCCCATGCGCCCTCGGGCATTCGGGACCTCAACCTCTCAATGGGCTGCCAGCTTGCATCCACTGCCAGCAACCAAGATACCTCAGCTGCAAAAAGCTGTCCCCAGGGCCATGCCTTCAGTGCCATCATACAAGGCTCTGAAAAAGGGGACTGTCCCACTCTCCAGAGAGGGAGGGGGCCAGCCCAAACCACGGGCCAGGATGGGAGGACAGGCTTGACGGTCAGCTGCTTCTGATGAAGAATCCAGTGCAGGAGAAGACCTTCTCTGAAGAAGCCCAGAGGTGAGACAAGCTCCCCTGTTTACTGTTTATATGGATAAGCCTCGGGTGACCCTAGAAGTGGCAGACAAAAAGATCATCTTTTTGGTAAATAAGGGGCCACTTGCTCTACCTTACTCCAATTCTTTGGATTGACCTACTGGTCGATTGTCCCCCTCACTAGTAAAGATGGCCAGACTGAGCCAAGACATTTTACAGCACTGCTACCTTGCTCGCTACGAGGCTACTTGTTTGCACATTCTCAGTGGTTAAAAAAAAAAAAAAATAGCTTTGTGTTTCTTTGTCATTGACAAAGTTGCACCAAAAATGTTTATGAAAGTATATCTTTAAGACCGTTTTATAAAACATAAATATATAATTGTGAAGAATTTTTGTTTGCATGATCATGGTTGGCCAGGTCTCGTTGTGCACTGATGTTGAGCATCAGTTCAAAGGAACTGTTCATTGCAGATTTTGATTGGTACCGGTGAGTCTGTGATTTTGCAACTTGTCTGTTCACATTTAAAAAAATTATCATGTATGGGCCTCCCCTGGTGGCTCAGCGGTTGAGCGCTGGGCTGCGAAGTTGCCCGCAGCCTCTGCAGTGCCGGTTCGATCCCCGGCCAGCGGTGAGGGTCCCACATGGTGCGCAGACCTCTCCTGCCGCCCGCTGCTCCCCTCAGCAGTGTATTTTGTCAGTCTGCCTGTTCTGTTCCCCGCTCTGGCTCTGGTGAATTCTCTCACCCTCCCACGCTTCTGACTGTACCCAGTGCTTATATAAATGAATAAATTTTTAAAAATCTGAATTAACCTCATTTAAAAAAAAATTATCATGTAAAATTTCCATTTTTCTGTAAAAATAGGTGCAATAATAATCAAAGTTTTTATGTCCTGAGTCTTCGTCTTGGAGAATTACCTTATTATGTTTAAACTTAACATTTTATGTACTAACATTTAGAGGGCCACATTTTAATAACTGCAGTAAAATTAAGTATGTATAAAACCCTAAAGCCCTAGACCTGTTAATGGCTAAAGTTTAAAAAAAAAAAATTGTGACCTCCTTACTCTTGAACTGAAATCTTTTGTTTTTGTTTTTCTCTTGCTTGGGCCATACATCCTCAATGCCTTCATCGAGGTCATTTCTCGCCTGGAGACCATCGAACTATGAAGCCTCCACTGTCCTTTCGAGGTCCCTTAGATCATCGCCCTGCGGTGGAGCCCTGACTGTTTTCCCTCATCGCCCACTTTCAGCAGGAAGCAGTTACTGATCAGAACGACGCCCCTTTCCCTGACTACAGTTAGGGGCTCCATTCGCAGAAGGGGAGGAATGAGACATAGGGCAAGTTAGGGTAATTAGGCAGTTTCAGGGACAGTGCAGGAGGGGACCTCTGAAGAGTTTAGGAAGGCTTCAGAGATAAAAACAACTAAGGGAATGTATTAACGTGGGCCTTGATTTCCTTCAAGTGATAACAGAGAGTGTTTTAATTGGAGCAGCAGACTCATTTATGCAAGGAGAAAATGAGAAGGGGTTAGTATTAAAACTGGTGGGTGGCAGCCTGTTTTATTCAATAGCTGATATTTAGTGACCAAATGAATAGCTCTGTGACTGGCTAACTAAAGAGAAATCCCTTGTTTGAGCAGAGTAATTCGTAATTCTCATTTGTAACTGAAGATAATACCTCTTCCTGACTAGATAGATGGTTTAGCGTCTGATTTTCAGAGGTCGTGGTCTGAGATGACCCAGAAAATGTCAATGTTTTGTATAAAAATGGCAATTTTAAATTTTCCTGTACCTATAAACCTGTGAACACATTATGTGGCTGAACTTAACCATAATTCTGAGACTGACTAACGGATAAAAGGCTTGGTAGCTGTTGTTTTCTTAGCTGACTAGCCGTTTTTCAAAAAAAAAAAAAAAAAATGGGGGAATGTGGAACCAAGCTTAGCCGAGGTTTCGCCATTTTGTATATCCTCCACCTTAATATGTTATTCCTTGTCCAGCAGCATTCCGGAGATAGTTTCAGCAGTCACAACCCTCACTCCACTTGGTGACGAAAAAGCAGACCACCCCAGCCGCCAATGAGGGCAGTCCTGTCCATAAATGGGACAGCATCTCTAACAGTCCAATCAGTTTGAAACTGTAACCGCGCGCACCAAAATGCCTTTGTAGTAGCCAGTGAGTAATTGCCAGCTTCTTTCAAAGTCCGCGCCACTCGCGACCCTATAAGATACCCCTGCTTCCTCTGTTCGGGGCTCTCGACCTCTGCTGTTGCATTGGCGGGTGTCGGGGGCCGGTCTCGAGCCCGTAATAAACTCCCTTTTGCATTTACATCAGCTGTCTTTGGATTCTTGGAGGCTATGCTCGCGGAGTCTGCAGATCTTGGGCACAACACTTAACCCCACCCTCAGGTCCCAGCCACCTTCCCTTTGGTGGTGATGGGATTTGGAGTTCCCAGGTCTTTGGCTTTGGCCTGGGGTGGAGGTGGAGTCCACAAAGCCTGTATGGAATTAGCTTTAGGACATCCTTTCCCCCTAACAAATCCTCTCAACCCCTGCACCTCTGGCCTGTACCCCAGTTCTTGTATACATAAATAAATCTTTAAAATTGTATCCTATTTCTTTGAATATTTTTTCATGGCCTGTAAAACATTGTCATGGCTGTGATACATATTGAATGCCACATGTAAATATATTAGGAGACATTATTAGGAATGACAGAATGTGTGGGAAGAGTGTGTGTATGTATGTGTTCATATTATGGGCATATGGGAGCGCAGAGTATGCATCTGTTTGTGTCTGGGCCGCATGCTTGTCACAGGCAGGGAGTGATGGTAGTGGTCAGGCAGCCATTGCCTAGTTTTTGGTTAGGAGGCAGCAACTCTTAAAATGGGTCTGGCAGGATGGATAATGACCTGAAAAGCCCATTTAGTGAGAATGAGACTGGGAGCAGCTCAGACTCAGAGCTTTTAAGAAATAGGCCGAGGTGCCCTGGCTCAACCAGGCGGCCTCCAGCAGCTCTGGGCAAGCATGCGGTGCACAGAGAGAATAGGGTCTGAGGGTACAGAGTCCCTGCTGGGAGCCACCAAACCTGGTCTCTCACTGTCGCCCAGAAAGGCAAAGCAGACACGAAAAACGCCTTTACATGGAGTTTATTCAAGGTGCCTTCCAGGGAGTGCGCCGCCGGTAACACCCTCCTGGGGATGCTCCCCAAGCTCAGGGGGAGGGCAGAGTAAGAGGAACCCACTTCTCTGGGATCAAAACGAACTCCTTTCTTTTCCTTGCCAACCTCACTCAGTTCCTGGACTGCGCCCACCGGTCCCTGCCACCCATTATCCCCTTGAGCCCCAGGAGGGGAAGTCGCGCCCCCGGACGTTCCCGAGGGCAGCGCACAGGATTGTGGGGAACGTAGTCTCGAGGACACGCGGCTCCCGCCTCGGCTCCCGCCTCGGGCTTGCTTAGGGGCCTCGAAGCTGGTCTGCGCTGGTGCGGAGCCTGGTCCTCGCCTTCTTTCCCGGAGGTGGTGCTTCTCCCCTCGAGTTGTGAGCGGACTTTGTGTCTGAAGGCTGGGTTTGTGGTGAATCTGAGGACCTGAGTACGGGTGTGGGGAGAAGGGGGAGCCCGGGGGCTGCGGACACGGTAGAGGCGCGTGGGTGAGGCCTGAGGCGGGGGAGGGGGGGAGCCCCGGGGCCCTGGAACAGGCGCGCGGGAGGGGCCGCCCGGCAGGGGAGGCTTGGGCGTGGGTTGCGGGGACCCCGCCCTGGTCACTGGGGAGTCCCCTCCAGGTGACACCTCTGCGTATTTTCAGTTGTTCTGGTGCGATTGTGACGTTCTGTTGATTGTTGGTGGAATTTTAGAATTTCCCGCTCCCGTGAATTGTTAGAAAGCCTGAGTGTGGTTTTACGGGGTTTGTTGAACTTTTTCTCTGTAAAGATCCACCCAAGTTTACTGCCTTTCAGCAAACACGCCCGCAGTTTTATTTCTTGAATTGATGGGTCTGCATTTTGGGCTTTTCCCGTTACTTACCCGGTGTGACGGGATGACACAGGAGGCTGTGGTTGTCCTGACTGAGGCCGGCTGGGTAGGAATTTCACTGCATTTTCGGTGGATTTGTATGACTGTCGCTCATCCATGTCCCCTGACCAGCTAACGCTGGGTGTCTTCCCAGGAGTACTGTGTCCCAGACGGCAAGGAGTTCTAGAAAAGACCATTTCATTCTATGCGCAGCCCAGTGATTCTTTTTAGCCAAACATCCTGTTACAGGGCGACACTGATATAAAACGGGTTGCCTGACTGTGGGTCCTCACCCCTGCGCTTAAAAGGGGCTTATTAATACTCAACTGCAGGCAAACACAAGAGGTTAATAAAAGGTTTATTTATAAGGGAAGGGGAAATGCAACTCAGGGAGAAAAGAGGGAGCTACATTCTTAGATGCCTCATACCCATCCCCAACCTGGAATCCCAATTGAAAGCTAGCGGAGAGCCAAGAGCCATGTGAAGCCAAGAGAGCGACCCAAGGCCCAGACCCAAGGCCCATGTCTGGTTTTATACCAACCCTAACAGCTTAACTCCGCCCTCAGGTCCCAGCAACCCTCCTTTTGGTGATGGTGGGATTTGTCATTTTCAGTGTCCTGATGTCTTTGGTCTGGAGTGGGGGTGGAGTCCACAAAGCCTGTATGGAGTGTGCTCAGGACATCCTTTCCCTGCGGCAGGCTGCACCTCCCATGCTGTCTCTTGACATGGTCCGGGCATTGGGGGAGACTCCTGAGAAGAAGGGAGTCTGTGCTCCCCCGAAGAGGGAAAGTTGTACTTCCCAGAAAGAGGAGTTCTTGTACTTCCCAAAGAAGATCTGAACTAGTGAGTCTCCATGGCAACACCTGCTAAAGCTCTCCTCTTTGTTCTTGATTAATGCTGAAGTAAGTTAGTTATTAATTGGCCTGTGAAAACCTAATTCGGACCCAGGTGACAATTGGCTTATTGTTCTTACGCATGAACTATCACAAAAAAATGTAAATATTGTTAAAGGTATAGTTAGGAAAGAAATGTTTTCGGCCCTGAGAACTATGGAGAACAAGCTGCCCTGAACCAGGCTGTACTTGGAAACCATAGGCTAACCTGGGGGGTACCTGTTGGCAGCAACATTTCCTGGTGTATGCAAGAGGTCAATAGTTCGCAGGCCGCGTGGAGGTTAGGAATTTCTAGTTAAGACTTTAGTAGAACTTACATAGATTTGATGAGTTGTTTTAGACCACTTTGAAGTAATTAATATATTAACCAAGTTAATTGAGTGCTAGGAGATAGATTGATTTTAGTAAATGAATATAGAATTGGAATTTTACACCCACTTTTGTAACTGGGAAAGTTTAATTGTTGCCAAATGTTGTGCTGTCTTGTATGACTGATCATGCTAGTAAATGAACTGTACCTAGGACACTAATTAGGTTACCAAAAAAATGGCCTACAGGTGTAAGGCCAAGGGAGTCTTTACATGGTCATGAGAAAATATGTATTGATTGTCTTTGCTCTGCTTCAGTGCTTAAGCTGATGTAATCCCACCTCGCCTTAAGGTATAAATAAAGACCTGCTGAGACCCTCAGCAGGAGATACTTGCACCAGTGAGAGTGTCTGTGTCTACCTCACTTCTACCTGGCTCCACTTCCCCTCAGCCCTCCGAAAAAACGTCACCAACTCCGTCCTCTCCTTTCTGAGATCCCTGACACGACTTCTAGCTGGAGCTTGTCTCCAGCATTTCCTCCTAACAATCCCAGGACAAATCCAAGTCATTGCCAAAGGGGGGTGTATAAGGAAACTAACCCAGGGAAGCAGGGCTCACTGAACCATTTCTGGGAGTGTCCTACCAGAAAAGTACATTAGTTGCATCCTTTCCTTTGAAACTGCGTCCAATTTTTTTAAAATAATTAATCATCTTTGAAACTTTTGTTTAGTTCTTCACATGAATTACTAGTCAATCTTAGGAAGTATCAGTTTTTATTAACTTACGGTAAATTGTCAACCCAAATACTATTAGTAATGGACTTGTGGATCCTTTCCTGCCCCTTCTCAAAGTGTGAACGGCTGTCACATGCCGTGACTCTCTGATCTCCCAGGCAGTGTGGAGAGCACTCTGGACAGCAGACTCCAGGATGCAGGTGCAAGCTGCCTCAGGCCTCTCCTGTGGACTCTTTTCACCTCTCCCAGCTCCACTTCCAGAGTCCTTAGGCATTTGTGAGAGCAGCAGACAATGAATAAATCTCTGGTGAGTGATTTGTTTTCTTTAGCCTGGCTTGGTAGTTGGGAACAGTGCTGCTCTGCTCTTAGGTGTAGATAAATACTTTGGTAATGAGGTTTCACATTTGGATAAATAACTTAGAGAGGTATTGCTGAAATATGGAATTTCCATTTTTCTTTCTTTCTTTCTTTCTTTTTTTAAAGATTTTTTCATTTACTTTATACAAGAACCAGGGCACAGGCCAGATGCACAGGAGGGTGAGAGGATTCACCAGAGCCAGAGCGGGGGAACAGAACTGGCAGACTGACAAAATACACTGCTGAGGGGGAGCAGCGGGTGGCAGGAGAGGTCTGCACACCATGTGGGACCCTCGCCCAGCCAGCCGGGATTGAACCAGCACTGCAGAGGCTGCGGACAGCTTCACAGCACTGCGCTCAACCACCTGTGCTACCAGGGGAGGCCCCCATTTTATTTCTTTAAGAAATCTCTGCCCCATTATCTGCAGGCATTGTACCAATTATGGCCACCAACCCGTGGGTGAGAGCTCCTTTTTCTCTGCACCCTCTCCAGGGTTGTTAATTCCATTCTTTTTTATTTGGGCCATTCTGAAGGGGTGAGGTGGCATTTCAGTGTGGTTTTAATTTACATTTCTCTTTCAGTAAATTAAGGTGAACATTCCTATGTCTGTTGGACCTCAGAATTTCCTCTTTAGCGAAGTGTTTGTTTAGTTCTTTTGCCCATTTTTAATTGAGTCATTGGTTGCTTTCTTGGATTAGGTGAGGGCATTATATATTTTGGAATGAGCCCTTTGTCAGATGTGTTGCATGCAAATATTTTTTCTATTCTGTTCCTGCGCTGCTTTCTTTTGAGTTCCAAAAGCTTTTAGGTTTGGTGTTGTCCCACTTGTGAAACTTGCTTTTGGTTCCTTTGGTATTGGGATGGTGTTCCCTAATACATTTCATAGCAGCTGTCCTGTAGTGTACCCCTTATTTGCTTTCAGTACTGCATGCTTTGGGCTCTTATGTCCAAATAATTAATCCATTTGAAATTAGTTTTCTGTATGGAGTTTTTTTTTAAATATTTATGTATGCATACAAGAACTGGGGTACAGGCTAGAGGTGTGGGGGTTGAGAGGATTCACCAGAGACAGAGTGAGGACCAGAAAAGGCAGATTGACTGAAATACACTGCTGAGGAGAGCAGTGGGGAGACAGGAGAAGTCTGCTGCATCATATGAGTCAGTTCCCTGGCCAGGGATCAAACTCATCCTTCAGAGGTTGTCATAGCTTCATAGTGCTGAGACTGAACCCCTTGTGCCACTATGGGCCCCCTCAAAACTCTCTTTTCACCTCGTGTTCTATTTAGAGCTCTGCTGGTGCCATGTGGTAACTGTATATTTTGATTTCAGGAACCCTTGATCTTTAGAGATGTGGCCATAGAATTCTCCCAGGAGGAGCAGGACTGCCTGGACCAGGCGCAGTGGAAATTGTAGCAGGACATGTTGCTAGAGACCTACAAGAACCTGGTGTCCTTGGGTGAGGAGAATAGCCCTCCAGATTTTCTCATCTGCCCTCAGCATTTCCTGTGCCATGTGTGGATGTGCTCCAAGGATGTCCAGATTTGTACGATACTTTTAGAGCCCTACTTTAAAGAAAAACAGTGTGGCTTTGTTGGAAAGAAAGTCTTATGATGTTTCATCATGGCTTAAACTTCTCCTTTCTTAGGGTGATCTGCAACCTGCGCTCTCTATTAGTGCTCATTCAAGAATCAGTGTTTTAAGCATTATTGCTACAAGCTAAAATACCAGCTTCTACCACATTCCTAGGACTCAGAGGTCTAGAAATGGTTTTCAGGATATGAAAATTTAAATGATTTCTGGTAAAGGTGCTGTCAGAAAAAGTATTTGCAGCGATCCTTTTCTAGAACCTTGTATACTCTCCTCTCTACTAAGCACAATACTGTATTGGGAATTGAGAATCTCCAGGTCATCTCATATCACCTGTCCTAATAAACAGGTCTTGCGGTGTCTAAGCCCGACCTGGTCACCTTGTTGGAGCAAAAGATGGAGCCCAGGGATGTGAAGAGAAGTGCAAATCCCATCATCCTCCCAGGTATGTGGAATGAATCCAGTGGAAGACAGCTGAGAGATGCGGTGGTCAACAGGAAAGCATCCTAAATGTATGAGAATCTCTGTTTCAGTGGCTGCAGACATGATCCTATTTTGTCTTGGAATTTTTGTCTTGCTGTCCCTTGGGGCCGTCTCCTCTTTGACACTTGAGTCCTAGGCCTTTCCTGATTAATGAATTGAACTAAGGGTTTGTCAATTTTGTTGATCTTTCAAAATCCAGACTTCCTCTCATAGAGGAGCTCATTCCTTTTGGCCATGATGTTCCGTTTATGTATTTCTTTTCTTTTTTTAACATTTATTTATTTTTACAACAACCGGGGTACAGGCCAGATGCGCAGGAGGGTGAGAGGATTCACCAGAGACAGAGTGGGAAACAGAACAGGCAGACAGACTGAAATACGCTGCTGAGGGGAACAGTGGGCGAGACAGGAGAGGTCTGTTGCTCCATGTGGGTAGCTTCCTGGCTGACCAGGGATTGAGCTCCTGCTGCAGAAGCTGCGGATAGCCTCCTAGTGCTGTGCTTAACCCCTTGCCCCACCAGGAAGGCCCCAAAATTGTTTTTTGTTTAAGTACATTGTGTTAATAATGTTGAGGTGAGCATCAGCTTTGAGCAGGGAGCAGAGCCAACGACCATAGAAGAACCCCCAAAGCCGCACTTCTCAGGTCAGTCAGTATATTCCTTGCAGGGAGGCTGGGAGGACCTGAGACAGGCAGACATGGCCACATGGAGCTACTTATCCCAATACCCAAACCTTGCACAATATGTCTGCGTGTATCAGATGGGTTCATCATTCAGTTTTGATTATTACTCTCTTGTCAATCTTCCCCTACTTTTTTAATGGTGTTAATTTTTGTAGATCTATCCAGTATCTCATTCCTGACTATTCTCTAACTTTTTCTGCATTAGGCACATTTTCCATATTCTCATTATTACTGTATTCTCACAGACCGTTTTTGTTCAGGTATTTCCTCAGCCATTTATTTCTTTCAGCACGTTAACGGGAAGTTTTAGACGCTGGTAAATTTTGTGTTTGTGAAATAAAATAATCAAAGAAATATTCTGTGCTTTATTGAAGTTATATTCTATGAGAAAGGAAAATGCAACAAATACATGTATCAAATAGTGAGATAAAACCACAGAGAATATTTTGCCAGGATGAGAGAAAACCATGGAGGTTGTTACGTTAGAGTACGTGCTCAGAAGGCTTACTTATGGAGATGGAGTCTTTTCTTCATTGTTGAGCTCTAGTTTGAGATAAATTGCATTTTGAAATGCATTATATATGGTTATATAATCTATCTGGGTTAGAAGTTGTACATATCTGTTGAAGGTATATTTATTTAACAGGTGATTAACTCAAATGTGATAGAATGAGA